AAGTGCATAATGATTACATTCATTTACAATGCTATACAGTGATGCCATACACGGACGTGACCATATCGTGAGAGATTTCAGCTGTCTCTGCTTTTACAGTAAATATCCCCCACACCCACAGAGGACTTTGGTCTACACATCCTAGCTGTGATTACATTACTCATTGTCACCTACGCTTTACACAATCATAACCTTTTAAAAGGTGTGGTAAAACACACCTTTTTAATGGTTATGGGACAAGGTTTAATTAAAGATTTCTAAACCCCGCGCAGTTTCGTTTGGTACGGTTATTTGTTCAACACGGCAACATGACATTGAGTTGAACGGCTGTAGAACATTTCCCACAGCCTGTCCTTCCAGTTATATAATAAACCGCCAAAACAGGTCTGCAAGCAGAGGCTTGCAGTGAAAAATAAATGGTCAAGGCCGCCTGGCTGATATCCAAAGCATGCAACCTGTGTGCTGACAGGCACGGATACTAGCTGGCCTGTTTATGTTGACAGACTTACGTCCACTTAAAAAGCCCTTCTATCTAGATATGTTTGTAAACCACCAGGAGGCAAACACCTCTAGAGGCGTGCTGAAGAAACACGTGAGTCATGATCAGCTGATTAACATTACTCAGACGCCTGACTCAAAACATTCATTTTGCAAGGTGACGAGACCTGTGCAGGCGTTTTAATTTAGCAGGACTGAAACAGGAAAAGCTTATTTAGCCAAGCAGGGTCTCCTAATGAGGTCAGCCGAAATCAAAAGGAGAGCATTTTGATAACAGAAGGGAATTTTCGAATTCAGTGCTCACATATCGATTTGTCCACTTGCTCTGCTATAAGTTCCAGCCCTCGTGTTTCGTCCTCCTTCTGACATCTCTTTGCGATATTCCGCAACAGCAGTGGGTATCGAGTTAGCCTCTGCAGCGGTGCCACCAGCAGGTCACGCAGGTGAAGCCGTCGGCACTGCTTGCTCCTCTCACACCACTGAGGAGAAAAAAAGGAGGGACAAAGAATGGGTACGGTGACAGAACGAGTGAGGTCAAATGTTTGAAAGGACTTGACTTTGTAGGGAAGGAGGGAGAGGATGGGCAGTGAAATGCCTGTGAGAAGAAATTATATGTAAGACCAAACACAATGACAGTTTCAGCAAACACGCCAGCATGATGACAGGGAAAGTTACACAAGGTACAAACGGTGACATTCCTCCCATTGGCCGGCCGCTGTGACACTGAACTGATTGTTTGCTATTTGGGCACCAATGCTCCTGTGAGTCCTCTCTCACATTGGCACACAACACCTGCTGCATTGTCATGGTACCCAGCGTCCTTCCCACTGTGCTGACTGGCACGCTCACACACACACAGACACACACCAGTAAGACCTCTCCTGTACCTTCACGTAAGTCCCAAAGTCCTCTCTGGGCTTCAGACTGTCCAGATACAGAAGAGCCGTGGAGTAGTTGAGGCAATACGTCTGCAGGCAGTGGCATATGCTCTCCTGGAAAGCCTGCCAGCAGACAGTAGTGTTAGACAAACACTGGGATACAGGCTGCTGGGTCGCATCAGCTGTTAAGCTGCAGATAAACATATCGTAAAAAAGCACAAAGAGGAGGCCGCATGCACACATGCACGCACAAAAACGTCCAGTCTGTGTTTGTAATGGCATAAATGCGTCTAAGATTGTCCTGTGATGTTTCTGTTAAACTTTTAATAATTTTATGTAATTGTAACTAGAGTTAGGTAACCTTTTCCCTTCTCAGCGAGCTTTGAAGATGCCATATTTTCAACACGCTCTTGTCATGAGAGAAAGCGAGATGGAACAGATAATAACAAAGCACATACTTAGATTTCAAAGTACAGTTTAAATGCAAGCGTGCTAAATTTGGTGAGTGAGAGCATCGTGATGGCCGTCCTCTTTTCTAAAAAAAATAAATACAGCTGTGTATTTGTGTTCTCATAAAAACATCTGCATTAAGGGGACACTTTCCCGGGCACTAGTTATCACTCTTGATTATTGGACTATAAGACTGTGTGGAATGTGTTTTGTCCATGTGGGCAGCTAGAAATCTAGTCCAGCTTGAAGCTGTCGATTTTAGAGCAGGAGCTTCTCTCAGTCCATGGTGATGTAAAACGCTTGTGCAGTTCCCAGTTCATAGCAGGCTGGAGCCTCGGTGGTTCCTAAGTTGTTCTTGAACATCCTAAACAAATTCCTCTCATGTGGCTATGCTTAAAGGCCAGGTATGTGCCAACAAACCAAGCAATTTAAATGAACTCAAATTCCACCCTGACGAGCGATTAAACATCTGTATGTGCATTTTTAATCCTGTGTGGATTAGAGAAAATCCAAAATAAAGTCCAACTTGTGTACCCAGTTCTTGTTTTTTGAAGTCATTAAAGATATATGCTGCACAATCAGCCTACCCTGGAAAATGAACAGTCCAAAGAAATCATAAAAGCCCAAAATTACCAAAAAATGATCAGTGTACTTAAATGTTTGACCTCAACTGTACGAGAATATTACATTTTGGCTTTTCTGCACATTATATCAAGTCCAGCTGATCCTTAATAGCTAGAAGAAAATAAGAATGCTTCCCAAATAAGAGCTTATGGTTAATATATTCAAACTATGCAGCTATTTTTCAAGTCTTTGAAAAAAAAAAAGCTGTTTATGAAAATACTTTAAGGATTGTATAATAATTAATCCAGATGAGCATATCATTCACACTTTTTCTATCTATTTTGATTGTCTTATCAGCGGACTAGTGAACACTGCTGTCACAGAGTCCAAATGGGAATCAAACTTGCCTTCCCCAGCAGATCCAGCAGGGTGGGACTGCCACCCTCAGTAATCTCCAACATGTTCTTGATAACGCGGAGGAGGCTGTTTAGGAAACCTGAGCTCACCTGGAGCAGAAAACAGTGTCAAATGTCACCACAGGGCCATGTGACATTTTTATAATATCACCGAGGTATTATGTTAAGATAATTGTTAACAAAGGTTTTTTACACCACATTATTTTTTTTGCTGACCATTAAATAAGCTTTAAATAAAAAGCTAACATTTTAAAATAATACAGCTGTAACGACTCATCATCATTAGCTCTTTCATAGTAACCTTATGTTGATGTGACGCCGAACCATGTTGTTTTAAGGATATGAAAGCAACTGTTGTTAAAAAGTATTTACACAAACTCCTCATGCAAATGATTTGCATCATTTCTCACCAGGCAAAGCTCATTGAGATTCGCAAACAGCCTCCACGAGTCAATATCAGTCAGGCAGTGCGTCACCTGCAGGTTCGTGAGCGTAGCCGAAAACACCTGAGAGGCACAAAGAAAGCAGAAAGAGAATAGGTTCAAGGTCTCTCTCATGCCAGCATTAAATTTCAAATCCACTGGTGGAAAGACGGGAAAATCCAAAGAGAGTTTTACACGAACTCCAAAGGCGGGAATTCAGTGAGAAGAATACAAAGAAGCAGGTGTTCAGTTGCATTTGGGTTTGGTCTATTTATTTGTGATCCTGTGGGTGTTTTTGTGATTGTGTGCATGCGTGCATTGTGAGGCTCTGTAGGGAAAGAGTCACCTCTTTGAGAACCATGAGTTGATCCATGAAGTAAACACACTCGCTGGTGAAGAGCTCCCAGATGGTCTCTTGTCTCTTGAAGCCCTGAGGGTCAGAGGAAGCACTGACCTGGGAAGACTGGTCTTGCAGGAACTCAGCCAGAGAGTAGTCCTGCTCACAGATACACAAAAAGACAAGAAGCTATAACTCAAAGTAAAGGCTGCATCCTCCACAGAAATCTCAGCAAACATGTTTATTTTATGGCTGTAAATTTCCATCTGCCACTATTATAGATTCAGGAGTACATCAGTGTTTGTTTGTGTACATATACAGGTTGACTTGTGTAGTCACTGCCTAGAAATTCTGGTTCTTACACAGTCTGTGTCATTCAAACATTGTAGGAGCTTCCATGTAACTGTCATCTTCTCATTTCTGAGTCATCTGGCAAACACTGAGTTGTATTTGACTTGGGAATCTGGATGGCTAAGCCTGGATCACAAAGTCAGTGAACGTACAGAACCAACACGATGATTTACAAAACAAACAGCAGCTAATAGCGCTCATTTCTTGCCTTAAATCTCTGAAGCTCCGAGTTTCTCCAGTCTTGAATCTGCGCAGTTGAGAGACATTTCTCAATATCTGACACCGTGCATGTCTGCGGCTTGCCTTTACTCTGAAAGGAAAAAAAAAAATTAGGCAACACATTAGGCAGATTTTTAGGCCTGTGCACTAGCCAAGAAAAAAGGGTGTGTGCCTAATTGTTGTTAATATCTGTTCACATAACCACCCAGCAGTTTCAAAACTAAATTAACAAGTTTGGCTCAAGTTCTGCATTTCAAGTGTTGACCAATTACAAAAAGCTGTGTGGGCCAAAAGGGATAAGAGGAAACACACTAATCTGCTTTGGGAAGTGGGTCAGAGAACAATGTCCAAACCAACTGCTCACTCCTAAAACAAAGTACATCAAAACAAATTACAAGCACGCCACTGGCACCAGCCACACACATCGATGACTAGCAGAAATACAAATGCACTTACCGTACTACGCCTCGAAAAAGGCCACTTTGACTTCTTGGTATCTGTAAAAGTTGTGACAGCGAAAAGAAGCGTGAGCATTTTAAGTTATACGCACATGACAGCGCAAATCACAGCTTACTGAAAATGTCAAAAAAATCTTTTGTTTTTTGTAAAGTGACCACCACAAATTCTGTCCTTTTGCTTTTTTAAATTCTAGAAATACAAATAATGCTCCCTTTACGACACAACAACACTAGACTGATGTTTACTCATAACTCTATATAGCACTTTCTACAGATTATCTCTAGTCTGTCTGTTTTATAGGTGTGTAGATAAAGTTATAAACCGCACTTTTAGTAAAGATGTAATAATAAAATAAGATGTAACTTACAATAATCTTGACTTTGAATAAATTTAATTCTATAAAACCATTACCTTCATTATAAAAAAGTAATTATAGTCATTAATTAACTTAGTTTGAGGTTCGAAATTCAGCTAAAAAAACAAACTTTTATTAAAGTACTAAATTAAACATTTTGTCAAAGTAGCTTTCAAGTATTTCAGTAATCAATATTGGTGGGGGAAAAACATTTTGCAGTATTTTTGTAGTATTTTTACTATCATCTAAACAGGAATACCAAATAAATATAATTTAGTCATAAATTTAAATAGTCTGAGAATACTATAAACAGGAAGGCTCGTCTCATGCACCATCATCTGACATAACGTTAGCCGAACAAACTTAATTGATATCAAAGTGATTAGCAGATTGACTCGGCATTAGGGTAACATTTATGGGAGGTTTTATTGATGGTGTTGGTATGCTTAGCAACCTCATTTTGCAGACAAAAAACAGAAGTGAAGTGAGATAACTTTATCTTTGTGTTACTGGATAAAACAGGTACGGATGTAATTAGCAGATACTCAGGATATCACATGCCTAAAAATTGCGATGATATTGTATGGTGGCGTGCCTGGTGAGTCCCACGTCTAAAAATAAAAAGTTCATGGAAATTCATAAAGTAAACCGGAAAAAAAAATCGAACTGTTGTGCACACATTTGAGTGCACACACCATAACAACAAGAAAGGACACGATACAACCAAGCAGGAAGCAGGAAGTTCATTTTGCCGTGAAGCATTACAACAATAGACATATTGACTCAATAACAGACACATACTAGTTCATGAGCAAGCATCCCCTAAACAGAGGGCAGACTGCAATCTGCCAGGACTGACAGAGGTACCTGCGAAGTTTGAGTCATTTAGTAAGTCAGCTGCTCCATTGGACACGAAAAGATCTCCTGGAGAAACATCCAAGCCGGGCAAACTCACGACGACGGAGCTCCGTCTCCTCTGATAAAGCCTGAGGACACAAAAGCGGACAGGTGGACAATTTAAGATGGAAAAAAATCCAAATACGCAAACAAAGAAAAGACAAAACAACCAAAAAAAACAAAAACGAGTTCTTCATACTAAGAAGAAAAGCTCATCAGACATCAGAAATGTACAGTTCAATGATTATTACTCCATTGTAAGTGTATTATATTCTAAAAGAATGGAAATCATACAAGCAACAGGAAATTACAGAATTCCTATTTGTGGTTTTACATTGCTGGGATACCACTGAAATACCATCCGCATTGTGCAGCAACCCGGCGATTAACATAGGATAAGTGTTATGTGTCTGATTATCCGTGGATAGATGCTTGTTAATGGATCGCCCTATTTGTGTGGAAGGAGGGAAGCTGTCAGTGTGTGCCAGTTATAATCCGCTTGGTCTGCTTTTCATAGTTAGTAACTGAGGCATGGCTGTGGCTGGAAAAACACAGGCCTGCCTCTCAGCCTCAGGCAGGGCTTAAACGGCCACTGTTCTCAAGTGTTTTGACTTATCCTCTGCTGCTGCTGCACTTCTGGGATTACTGCTGAAAGCAAAAATGGACGTTCATATGTTGAAATTAAAAATTAAAAGCCCAGTGATAAATCTTCATAAGCAATGGAAGCTGACCCTGGAATATGCAGGCTAAATATCCAGAAAGGGCACGGCCATGGAAATGTTTTCATTTGTTGTAAAAGCCCAAAAGGAAGAACTTGATTGGTGACAGCATGACATTAAACCGTCCCAATGCTAAATAGACAACTGCAGTCATTAAACATGACTGCATACAGCCATAAAAAAGGATGCAAAGTAGCCAGACGAGCTGGTTCTGCTAAAGCTAAAGCTCACTTTGAACACGCTGACACTGATAGACAAGCGGTCAGTGACCCACGTCAACACTCTGCGGTTAGGCTTTTAAATAATTTAGTGCCTTTGACTTCAAAAAGGAGAATTTAAGCAGGAATCAGTAGTGATGAAAGTAACAGATAACAGGCAGATAACAGCAACACACAATGTGGCTAAAAACCATAAGGAAGTGTGACTGACAGATGAGGGCTAATGCCCCTGTTTAGATTGACAGTACAATACAGTGGAGCAGAAGTAAAAGCAAGGGGAAGAAAATGCAGGAACAGTTTATGTAAAACTTCTTCATTAGATTGAAGGAGGAAGTGTTCTTCCCCTCACAGCGCAACACATCCCCTCACACAGGACCTGCATTCTTGCTGCTGTGGCTGCACAGTTGCAAAAGTACCCTACGAGACTAATTCGAGTGCACATGTAGGCCACATGGCTGCAGGGCCAACTCGTACACTTGGAGGATAAGTCAGTCTACAACTGAGCGGGGGTAACCTGGTACGTTTTTCCTCTAGGACACTTTTGTTCAACTGTGAAAGCACCAACTGTTCTTCGCTCTCACTGGATGGGCCGTTTTCTTCCTGGTAAACTGATACGACACCCACGTCCAGATCAATGTAAAGATGCTGAACAGAGAGACAGATAACAGTCGGCAGTAGCACCTGAGCAATGTAGGGGGACATGTGGCACGAAAAGTACGATTACCTCCTCATACCAGGCCAGTGTCGCCTTGCAGTTCATTCCACAGCATCCTCACAATGACATCCTGTTGGTTTGTGGCAGCTCAGAAAGCTTTCTCTTTGTCCGCCTCTCTGCTACAGAGAGCACTTGTAAAAATGGCCGCTTTGTTCATGCATAACAAGAGAAATAATGATGCTCCCAAACAAGACTGTCCCAACCAAGGCTCGCAAAGGCCCGGTCACTGTAAGAGGCACAGTGCCAGGGTGTAATTACAGGGACAATAGCTACCTAATTATCCGGTGAGGGGAAGAGCCTGGACGCCTATTAGGAGGGGTGTGGGCGGCAGTAAGGGAAAACAGCCTTAATGAGCCCATACATAACCATAGGACTCTCAAAACTTAACCCACCAAGCTTATGAAGCATTAACAAAGACACGAGTGACAATGAGTGCACAACAGGGATCCTCAAAGCAAAGGTCCAACCATCCCCGCTTGCTCTCAAGCACCAACAGAGCACACAACTCAGAGGCACTCTGACGTGTTGTAGCTCGGATTTTGGCTTGTTTTTGTGAGCGGGTGAAACAGAAGGACAAAAATAAAAAAAGAAACCATATGTGACAGCTGTATCCATTCCAGGAAGAGTTTTACGACAGGGTAACACAGACAACATGCAAAACAGTCCAAGGTACACTTACCTATCATGACAGGGTTCCTTCTCCTGTAAGAAAAAAGAACTTTGTTAGTGACCTCATCTTTCCAAATCAGCAGTTATACTACACGCCACATCGGCACTGTCTCGCTCCACAGTCAGGACCAAGCAGAGGGTTCACAGACCTCCTGCAGCTAACAACACCACTATATCACTTTCAAAGACATTCAAATTTGAGTCAGTATTTTAAGTGGTCGCTTGCATTCAAAAGCCTCTGATATTGGAGGAGAATGCCGGTGCTCTATTGAGGATCGGCTCGCTTGAATACCGTGAGCTGATGAATAGATCTCCCCATTATCTTTTTCCATCGCTCACTGACCCCTCCATTATTAGGTGACTGCTGACTGCGGTGAATAGGGGCCCGAGGAGAGCACTTCCCAGGGCTCTCCAGGCAGTGGGCTTGGTCAGAGCTGTCAGTGCATGTAACTGCTGATTCATTTGCTGTCAAAAGCTTGCATTGTGAGTGACCACTGCGGGAGGCAAGGCCGATTGAGGGAAAGAAGGTTTTCCTCAAGGAAGGAATGTGCAACCATTTAATTTTTAGACTTTGCCAAAAAAGAAAAAAAAATCTGCAGTAGATTACAGGAAATTTATGTGT